TTTTTCATTTTGTGCCCAACGTCTCCGTTTTATTGGATGAAATATTATTTATTTCTAACTCTTTTGGCTACAACAATATTTAAGTGAGTATGCTTTCGAGCCTAGCGCTCCGGAGTTTTAGTCACTTAAAGGGACTATCCCACCTTCTAAAATGTTGTTAAAACCAGTTAAATTGTGCCCGACTTTATAGATTGGATGACCAGGAACACGGTTCTGGCATTTATTTTTCATTAAACGTCTTAGGCTTCCCATATTCCAAACACAAACTTTCAAATATGTGACGTCACAGCCCAAAATTACCTCCTTCCCCAGGCCACATTACTGTCATAAAGCTGATTCTTTTTACTCTGTAGGCACCACAACAAAGTTCAGACCCCAAGTTTTAAGCGATTTTTCAACGAACAAACCCATTTAAATCAGAATGACTAAACGAGGTGACGTCACACTAACGGTCGCTCCATGTTGAAGATAGGGCCTTGTACAAGGCCCATTTTCAAATGAAGGGAACGAATTTCTTCAACACCAAGAGGCCGCGGGGGTTGCAACCTAGATAGATAGTGGTTTCTGAACCTCGCCGCAAACTTGGCTATCTCAACTCAAACCCCATGTTAAAGGTGGGATAGTCCCTTTAACCTCAACAATTACGAACGTTAGTTCACCGTCGACAGTTTTAGCGGCGTTTCACCGGTACAAAACCGAGGTCATTACAGGCTGTTCTACGTCAACGGCACCCGAGCATTAGCCCTGTTTGTCTTCACCATACCAATAACAAAACAATAAAATACCACCAGCAGCACGCAGCAGCTCAGAGTCTGTTCAACCTGTTTAATGATGAGTGGATGCCTACGTGTGGTGAGAGCTGCACAGACTTGCTGGGACAGCCATCTGAGAGGGGTTAACACATAATGTTATTTCTTGGCTCCAAATGAACTTTGATTTCACCATCCGAATTTCGCAAAGTCAAAACCAACAGTATTTGGCAGGCATGGAGACTGCAGTCTGGTAAAGATCATGTTATGCATTTCTACCAGACCGTCGTTAAATGATTTAGTAAAATATACTCTTTGTCATTTACTATTTACATGGATAATTTCGGTGGGTTGGTATTAGTGTTAAGTTTTGAATGGGCTATGGCTTATCTTCAGAAATGTGATTTAAGCCCTATCTGTGAAATGATATGTCACAAAGCACAAAGTCATTTAGACATGGACTTTTGCATTCAGCTGACAAGATTCTGCAACTACTTTCAAACTATGGAGTATGGTTGGATTAATATTGAATAATTACCATGTCAAGGCCAAATAATTGATGTTCTTCTTCTGGTTTCTGTCTAGCGTCCAGAGATCTCGGCTCTGGATGACAGCATGCTCAAAGGATGCATCGAATAGTTAGGCTAGATCATGGCCATGGATTATCATCCTTATGAAAGAGTGATAATCCTTGTTATGGAAGGGTGATCATGATCACCCTGTGATAGATCATGGATCATAGTTATTTTTTGGGTATGATGTGGTTTTTGTTATAATGTGAGTTGTGACACAATCCAACGTGATTTCATGTGAATGCCGAATGGCTCATTTTTATGGGAAGGAATGTGATTACGAGCGAGCGAGCGCAGCGAGCGAAGTGAGTCTTTTCAATATAACGGAAAAATCTCAGTATGAGCGGCCCGGCCCGGCCCGGCCTGTAACGCTTTTGAGAGGCTTATATCTCAGCAACCGCTGGACCGATTGGCCTGCGGTCTTTTTTGTTGGGTAGCCCCATCCCTTCTACCCCGTAATTGACTACTTTTGATGCATCTCAGTGACCGTCGTGGCACGTGCCACGTGAAAAGTCAAGGGTGTTCAAGCTGTTTTGCAAAAGTAGTGATTTTGAGAGGCTCATATCTCAGCAGCCGCTTGGGCGATTGGCTTGCGGTAATTTTTGTAGGGTAGCAGCATCCCTTCTACCAAAGGTCGGATACTCTCGATGCATGTGGGTCACCCCCAGTGCACGTGCAAAATACAACAATAAGAGGTGTCAAATTTGTTCCCATTTCAGTAACTCGGTAATTACTGGGGCGATTTCGCTGAAACTTGGCATACAGGTAGGCACCCACCAGGCAATGCATTCCAATGTGTTGCGGTTAGGGTGCTACTGCACGTGCGCACGTGCAGGGGGCGTTTCCAGATCTCGAGAACGGCTGGGCCGATTGCGCTCAAATTTGGTACACGGTTGGGGACCGGTTAGTAGGGTGCCGTGCAAAAGTCATTTTGGACCCGTTTGCGCGTGCGCACGTGCAGAATGCCGCTTCCAGATCTCAGGAACGGCTGGGCCGATTGCGTTCAAATTTGGTACACCGCTAGCGACCGGTTAGAACGGTGCTTTGCGCAAGCCCATTGGAAGTACCCTCTCGCCCTTCCGCACGTGCAGGGCTCACTATCTCGCTCGCTCGTTCTTCGCCCAAAAGGCGTTTTACTGGTGTAATATGATGTGTAGTAACGTGATGTGATTGTTGGATGTGCTCGGACAGTCACATGCAGGCTTCAAAGCTGATGTGTGTATTTCACATGGAAACTCGCCCTCTGCAACACAAACAGGACACTAACACAGAAGTCCATGCAGATGCTGGACAAGTGGGGCGTGAGCAGCAGTCAGCAGATCATGCCAACTGGTGTAGCGGACCGACGGGCACGCACACACGAATGCAGGAGCGGGACTGTGTCCTGAATGCCCACAACCTCCCACAGACGAGCCACCACGGTCATGCCACAAACCAACACCCATACCCGCTCATGCATATCCTTCAGTGATCCAGTTCGTTTTGAGCACACGCTGCTTCCCATACATGTGGAGTGCCATGTAAGATGATCAGTGATCACTCCGAAACTGCTCGTAGCGATAAAATGGAGGTGGTGACATTCTGTGCAAAGCATAATACAGCAGCTCTCTCTCTCTCTCTCTCTCTCTCTCTCTCTCTCTCTCTCTCTCTCTCTCTCTCTCTCTCTCTCTCTCTCTCTCTCTCTCTCTCTCTCTCTCTCTCTCTCTCTCTCTCTCTCTCTCTTTCTCTCTCTCTCTCTCTCACTCTCTCTCTCTCTTTCTCTCTCTCTCTTTCTCTCTCTCTCTTTCTCTCTCTCTCTCTTTCTCTCTCTCTCTTTCTCTCTCTCTTTCTCTCTCTCTTTCTCTCTCTCTCTTTCTTTCACTCTCTCTCTCTCTCTCTCTCTCTCTCTCTCTCTCTCTCTCTCTCTCTCTCTCTCTCTCTCTCTCTCTCTCTCTCTCTCTCTCTCTCTCTCATAACTCGTATCATTATCACAGCGTTGTCCGTTCTATTCTGAAGGAGGATTATCCTGCATTTATCTGTGTATTTCTGACCCCTCTCATTCCCTCATAAGCCTTATCCTAAGCACACGGTCATCTCTTGGAAAGCCTCTCTCGCCAGCTGTCTCCAAGCAGGACGCACGGTCGATAGGGATCAAAGGACTGGCACCGAGGCACTCTGTCTGGTCGTTCAGACGCCGGAGAGTGTTCCCAATGTGTCTGCCTGATGTATGCGCGGTGCAGTGTTCCCAATGTGTCAGGAGCTGTATGGCGCCGGGCCCGCCGCGCCGCACGCGCATCCATTATGCGAGGCCGAGTTAGATGCGATGCCGCCGCTCTCCCCGCGTCGCTGCCCGCCGGCCGGCTGTCGTTCCGGCACCGATGGGACAGGTCAGACATTATACGACGCCAATGCATCAGAGGAGCAGCGACACAGTGTACCTGGAGCCAATGAGCGCCCCTGACCGACTCCGGCCCATGTCTCTGACCCAGATCCGGCGTGAAAAATACCTCAGTGCGGCGGCATCTCCCTGGCCCAGGATCCACGCCGGGGAACAAAAACAACGGCGCCGCTCAACCGGGCCAAATGACGCTTGTTCCGCCAGGAGGGTCGTCGAGTGCGGCGGCGCCGGTCGGCTGCGACCAGGCACGGAGCGCGGCGATCTGCGGCGCAGCGATAACCACATGCACGTGCGTGCGGTGATGCACGTGGCACGTGCGACCCGCGGTCGTCGTCTGATAGTCGCGCGTGGCCTGAGGTTGGCGGTTATTGCGGTGACTTGGAGCGAAAGAGAGATTCGACGGGATGTGGGTCAGGGAAGTTTTGCTGATCAGCAAAAAATAGAACGCTCAGTAAAGGGGGCTAGACATTATGTTGAATTTCAAGCCGGATCCCTTGATGCAATTTCTCTTTTTTTCAGGCGTTTTGTACATGCCAGAATATTCTAAACAGTATCTAGGATAAAAAAAAATGCGCAATTATTAATTCCAAGGGGTCATAACTGTTCCCTGAGGCGTCAGGTCAAGCAAGCATTGTTGAACACAGGAAGGCAATAGTAATCATTTAATCATGGTCCCAGATAAGACGTTTCTCTGTGAACGAGACCTCAAGAAGCATACGTTGCTATTAATTGTTATTCCTTCTAGCCCTTCGATATCAGTGCTGCCTAAAACAAGCGGACGACGCAATGTTCCTAAGCGCGAATAGTTCCTAGCTATGTGGGTTTATGCAAAATTTATGATATTGGCCATGCATTTCTATGCTTTCCAATTAGTTTCTGCGCGTTTTTAGGCGCCGAACCCAGCAACAAGCTAAATATGGTTTGGCCCGGCCCAACACAACGCAGTTGAATGTACGGGAATACATGCAGCCGAGCATGAAAGAATGCATGAACTGCAAACCACCTGATCACGAATCACATAGGAAAGTGGACTGACTCCAGACTGCACGTGACGGCCGATGACAGCGCTCGACTGCGGGGGGGGGGGCAGTGGGCCAAATTGAGGCTACCGACTTGGTGCCAATAAAACACCTCCACACGGTCGTGGAACCAAATAGTTATACCCTCTCGCATGCGTTGCTAACCCAACTCACCGGCCGAGCGCCCTCCACCTTACCCCTGACCGGCCGCTCGCATGTGGCGCCAGGGTCCCGCGGTCTCCCCGGCGGCGGCCGACCTACCGACTGTCGGTCCGCTTTCACTATCGCTGGTGCGGCGGCCGTCTGCACGGTGCCGGCCCGGGGCCCAGTCGTGGCCCGAGGAGTGTGCTGGTCGCTGCAGGCGGGCGCGGTGCCGGACGCTCTGGTCCGTGGCGGTGCGGGCTCGCGGCAGGAGGAGAGGGCTGACGGTCCCGCAGCACGGGACTCGGAGGGAGCACCTGTTGATCCGGTGAGTGTTCGCGTGGGAGGCGGCTCTGAGCCGGCCGGCGGCATCGACCGACCAAAACAGGATACGGCTATTGATCGGTGCATATTACCCTGAACTGCAGCTGTATAACAGGAGGTTCAGAACGCATTCATTCCCCTTCTTCATTCATTCACTATAATCTGACAGCAACTAGATCACCATTTGAGAACAGCAGGAGCAATCTTATTGACGCTTTTAACCGGTATCAATTCGATGCAACTCGCTTAGTTATAAATGAACACATAACACATTGGTGGCCGATGCTGGCTTAAGGCCTTTTCGTCCATGTTCCGCCTGTTAGTAGTTTACGGTCACAATTAGTTCCTGTCTCAGGGCTTCCTTTCTCACTGCACTCCTCCTACGAGTGCACGTACAAATGAAATAGAATTTAAGGGCAAAGATAAGGCGATATATAGGTGACTGAAAGCAAAAATAGCCAACGAATATGATCACAACATCGATCTTGGAGTGATTCTTCAAATGAAACACTTCTGAAGCACTTACCTATTAGGCAACCAACGTTGTTGTTCTATGAAAAGTGCATCCAATGCCATTCAATAGACGATCTTTTCAGCTGGGCATAATGCAAGTGGCGGTTGAGTTATCTTCCTTGGCTGGGTTCTCATGAACCTTTCCCGCAAGCGCGCTCATAACGTTTCCGATCCCTCTTCAACTTGTTTCGTGTTACTAAAATGAATTCCCAGCAAAACAGTGCCCTGAAACGGGTCACTCAGAAAAACACTGCATTCATACCATAATAGGTACAGTTTTGTTGACAGACATTAATAAATGACATCTTCAAGAGGTATAGAATGATTGCTTTTTGCTAGCCTGATGATGCGTTTTATTTTGAAGGTAGATACACTTTTGCAAAATAAGCATTAGGTATATCTTTTGGGTTTCATGAGTGGTTTGAATCAGGTATGCCATACGTAACAGTACATATGTCCTTTTACGTCCTGCTGCATGTCCTTTTATTAGGTCTTTGGTCTTATCAATGCTTTCTACCAAAGACCCAGCAGAACACTTTTCCTTTCCTTGTTACTTATAAATATGTAACTCCGCTCACATCATACCTGTCCGCAGGTTTGCTTTCGCTAAAACCGCACGACTCCCACGATTGGCGACGCTCCATCCTCGCTCCATCCCACCGTCCCGTCAGTCACAGACCTGCCCAGCAGGGTTGTATACCAATCAAGTCGATTGAATTGATTGATTTGATTCAACGCGTATTTTGAGTTGATTGGATTGAGTCGATTGACTTTTCGAGATGACTGGTTGACTGACTCGTTTGACTTTAGCGACTGGTTGACTGATTTGATTCCCGAAAATTAGAGTGACTCGTATGATTGAGTCGATTGAATGGAAAGTTCAAAGTTTTAGTTGACGAAAAATAATGACACCAATTGATGACATCAAAGATCACAAAACTACACTGAAAACTGCTTGTCATCACAACTGCAATATGGGGTAGATGGCCAAATAAAGAACAGGGCCTTAACATGAACAGCCAACTTTGACTTTCAACTGCAATAAACTGCTCCAATCCTGGTGATAGAACCTGGCGATGCACCTACCTACCTTTCTGCACTCAGCAGGAAACGTTTTTTTTTTTAATCCAGATGATAAAGTGCAAGGCCCTATACACTAATAAAGTGTGATTAATTAATAATTCACATCTCCACATCTCCTCAGAAACAACCTACTGAACTCTATAAATATATGAAACCCCTACAAAAATAACTGAAACAAAAGCGCCGTTTTCGTCTCGCTAAATTTGCTGCATTGTTTAATTTGCAGCAGAACGTTTGTTGATCCTTTTCTCCGGAGAGCCTAAGCATAACATATTTAATATATTTCATTTTCCTTAAATATTTTACTGAATGTTATAAAGTGGTTTTATTTTAAATGAAATAATAATTAAAACGAAATTGGTAATGTACAACCGATTTATTTTATGATAATCTACCATACTACATGATTATCAATGACGTCATCTTACCAAAAAATCAAAAGACGTAGAATAAGGATTCATAAAAGCTTAGCATACTTGTTGGCAACAGGCAAAACGTTTTCTTTGTTTTTTTTTTTTCGCAGTCGCACCGTGCCGTTTTGCGCGCCCTAACTCTTCAACAACAACAACAACAACCGTGCCGTTTTCGTGTTTTAATTTTCCTTGTTCCTACTTCCTTTGTCCTTAACTTATCCTGTGGTTCCAGAGTCCCTGTCCTCTCCATTTCCTTTTAAATATATTTTTAATCCTCATCCCTATCCCCCAGTCCTAACTGTTTCAAATTGTATTGCAATAAAATGTTTTGAATTCTTCACATATAACCTATCTACCTTCGTTGGTACTGTTGGTAGCCAGTGACGCATCTAGGCAGGTAAGTAGGTACCTACCTGCTTTCCTGCTGTCTTCATAAAGCATACCTAATGAAGTTGTCAAATTTGTAGCACATTTTCAACACTTTCATATGGTGTCGGTGTGGCATGAAACCTAGCTAGGTTGATTATGTTTAGGGTTCATTTCAGAAGAGCTCCGCATAACTTACATAAGAGACAGACAGGGGCTTTACATGGGGTAGATGGCCTGATGACTCAGCTGGAATATGGCCAAAATTAAATTGACAACTTTTAGGTGAAAGGTGGTGATTTGGGTTAAGGGGCGAGTCAACTACTGGGTTATTTTGCACCCATTAAATGAAACTTCTGCTCCAATTCTACCCATTGAACCTCAATATCATGATCCACCTGTCCATCACTAGGTATCCTTCCTTATTACATAGAAACTTTGAATAGCATGGCAATTTATAATTTTAAATGACAATATTTTTATGTTTCTTCTGTAGGTAGGTAGGTAGGTAGGTACACCAGACTGCTATGGACACTTTTCCAAGTTGGTGGGGCAAAAAACCTAATGTATGTCTTGGTTTGAGTCGTTTGATTGAGTTGATTGATTCCTTTCATTGTCGCGTTTGAGTCGATTGAATCAATTCCCGAAAACTGCTCTGACTTGATTGATTTGATTGGTTTCCCAAATTTGTCGTGATTGAATTGATTGCTATTGATTGAGTCGTATACAACCCTGCTGCCCAGCCGCACCGGTCCGAGCCGGCCCAGACCCGTCTCAGTGTGCGTTCAGTCGTGCTCAAATCGCGCACAGTGCGGTCACTGAGCACACAGGAAGTGAAACACGCGCCGAACGCCCCGGGCCAGCCACTAACGGTGTGTGCTACACAGAGGTGGACAATAGGCGACGGCGCGAGCGCACTGGGTCACTGCTGCTGCCGAACAGGAACTTAGCGCGCGCTTCATCCAACCTACATACATGAGGGCTGGGCGGGGTTTGATTTGATTTGTGGATAAAGACGAAAACTAAGGTAGGCAAGGCATGGTGCGATCCATGTGAGGCAACAGCATATACTGGCGGATCCAGGGGGAGGGGCCATTTAGGGAAGTGCCCCCTGCGGCGCCCGAAATCAACAAAAAAGCGGTTTTTCGAGAATAAAAGAAAACAAAACAAATTCTATGAGAAAAAAACTGGTTTTAAACTGTTCAGCAGAACGTAAGGGATCGAAATCCGGGGAGCTTGTTAATGAGAAAATGTGTGGGATATCCCCGCAGTGTCCAGGACCGTCTTTCTGGATCCGCCAGTGACAGCGTATACGCTAATCGATAAATTGCTCACGTCAGCGCAGAAACCCATCACATTGTATCGTTTCAGGCAGTATCTTCTTTGCCTTACAGCGAACTAAAATTGCTAAAGCTTTAACCCGCGCCCCAGTGGCGGTCTCAGCCAACTTCGCCCTAGTGGGGGGGGGGGGGGGCATATGTTACCACCCACCTCTAACTCAACAACTAAGAGGGCTAGAAAGACGCGGTAAAAAGCAGTCGATAGCTCTCAATGCGTACGTTTGAAAGTATTTCGGTCATTTTTCACCTTAGAGCAAAATTGGGGTCACCAGAGGTCATCAAAGGTCAAAATTTGCCAATTGTCATTATATTTTTCAGAAAACATGCCGCTATCTCAGGAACTATGGTAGCTAGAAAAACGCATGGAAGAGCAAACGATAGCTTTTGAACTCTTCTTTTGAAAAGGTCATTATCAATATTGACCTCAGGTCAACGGTTTAGCCTCCAGAGGGCAAAAACTCAAAAAATAGCTGTTTTTACGAAAAGTGTTTTTCGACAATCACTTTCGACTACAAAAAGCCACGACATTTCTATTGCCAGAATCGTGTTCCCCTCGCCGAGACGCGTCGAATGAGCTATAATTTGACCTTGAAAGGTCAACTTGAAAATTTGACCTCAGGTCAAGGTCATGACCTTACCGGAAAAGGTCATGTTGCATATCAGTCGATGCGTCTCAACAAGACAAACACAATGAGACCATCCCCAGCGTTCTATCTCTTTCCAATCGCGAGTTATTGGCAAAAAACTGTTTGTAGCCTCAAGTGACCTCGGATGACCTGTCTAGAGGCTATCACCAAAAATGACACCTTGGTCATCACGAGTGGACTAAATCATTGTGATTCTGAAATATTTGGACTGTTTCGATGCGTACACACGGATCTAGAGGCATTTTCATTTTTCTCCATTGACTTGTAATGGAAAGGTCACGCCACTGACCTGACCTTAGGTCACGGAGATAAAAAATCCGAGATATACAAATTGTAGGCGCCCATAACAGCATACAATCCACCAAGTTTCAAACCTTTCTGACAAACACTGCAGGCTGGACATGATTGCAAACTTTTTAGGCTTGGTCAGTTAACTTGACCTGGTGACCTGACCTGACATGACCTGGGGTCAAAAATTTCACACATTGTCCAAAATGGATGTACCAAAAGCTACCCCAAGCGGCGCGGCGCTACGCGCCGCGGTAATTTATTCACACGCAAAAAACGCGACAGGGTGGTAACATATGCCCCCCCCCCTCACTGGGGCGAAAGGTTAAAGCTAAAGCATTTGTTGAGTACAGC